CAAAAACAATATGAGAACCGAATTAACGGAATCACAGAGAAACTGTAGCGGAGGTACTTTCAACGAAATCAAAAAAGTCAAGGGAGAAGGATGAGTACGGAATTTCTGAAAGCTGTTTTTTAATTTATACATGTTTGATTTAAGAAACTGAGGAGGAGAATAAGACGGGAAATCTAATCGTTTGAGAAACCTGATTGAGGTAGGGGATGGTGAAGTCGATGGGCTTTCCAGAATTGAAGCTGAGTTTCGAAATCTCGATATAGTTTAGGTGAAAATATTTTAAGATCAAATCAACGGTTTGAACAATTAAGAAGATGGATGAGTTGGGTCGGTTTTACTGAGTTGGGTTGGTTTAGGTGTGCCACCTTCTTGATTTGACTTGTAATTTCTTGTATTTTCCGTTTACCATCTATATAAATTGTTCCTTTGCTTTTTTTTTTCGACTTAAACTCAATATTATTAGATCTGAATATTTGAAATTACATAGTCCTTATGGACAACATGAGATAGCCATAGAGGAGGGAAATTACAATCAGAGTAAAAAGAAGATTGAGAAAAATAATTCTTAGCCAGACAATGGGCCGCCTCATTGCAGTGTCTTTTAACGTTTTTGAACAAGACTCTTTAGAACTTGACTCCCCATCTCTTTATTTCTCTGCACAAATTGTGGATCGTGAAGTCCTTCTCATCATTATTGAGATTCCTGGTGAGATTATGACAGTCTCCTTCAAAGATTACAGATCGAAAACTCATCATATATGTGTTTTTTATAGCCGCTAGGAGAGCTTTCCCCTCAGCTTAAATTGGAGATGACGAAAGCCCCAAGTTAGCTGAACCCCAATACTTTGCAATCCCCTTATCATCTCTGACTATCCAGCCAGCTGAAGTGTTTTTAGTTGAAATATCATAAGCCGCATCAACATTACATTTTAAGGAACCCAGGAGGAGGACGATTCCAAAAGGTTTGAGAGTTTAAAGCACCACCAGTATTAGAATTTGTAAAAGGCAAATGGATTAGATACTTCTAACCATTCCTTAAATTCAGCGTTTGATAAGGAGACATCCTTAGAAGGGCTGGGGATCAGTTTGTTGAAAATAAGGTTGTTTCTGGACTTCCAAATTTTCCACAGGACCCAGAAAGGCAACAGTTTCTGATGATCTGAAATTCGTTGTTTCCCTTGAGTATCTGCCAGAGATTTGATATTATCCTCACAAAGTGGAGATGGTTGAGAAAGACATATGAAAGGTAAATTTGTCAGCCTGCAAACAATGTTAGAAACAGGGCATTCAAAAAACTGGTGGTTGATGGTTTCCTCTTCTCGACCACACCTTGGGCAAGTAAGATCCATCATAATGCCACGGTCCTCAATCTACTTCCAGTACCAATGGCAAACTATTCTCCAGAGAAAGTGCTTAATCTTTGGAAGAATAGGAACTTTCCAGATTTTGGTCTTTAAACCTGGATCACCATGCGGTGGAACAATTATCGAGATATCAGGATCTGCCAGTTTTAGAGCAAGATAATAACCTGAACGCACTGAATATTCCCCATGAGTAGTATAATGCCAAAACACCTTCTCCACTTCTACATCCTGAGAAAGAAACAGAGATTTTGCGATACCTTTGTCCTCTTCCACTAGATATTCATATTAAAGTTCATTATTCTTCTTACATTATCAATAAATGTAATGATATGACTGATTCGAAGAGGGGAAGAGGTTAAACCGCTTGCTAGTCTTGGAGGATAAGAAGGAATCCAATTGTCTGAAAAAACCTTAATGTCAAACCAGAACCCACATTGAACCTGATTCCTTTCTTAATAAGATTCAGACCTACCAAAATAGACGACCAACCAAATGATTGGTTTTTCTGAGGCTTCGCAATTAGTACAGACTCCTCTCGGAAGTATTTCGCCTTGAACAATCTAGAGAATCTGGATGCTTCAAAAGTTAGCCAAGCACAAAGCATCATTGAATTTCTCCGAATCTCGGAATCCAAGACCTTCCTCCTTTTTAGATAGCTGCATTTTTTGCCAGGCTACCCAAGGAATACCCCGTTGCTCCTCATTTTCCTCCCATAAAAAACGTGAGAGAATACTGGTGATTTCACTCACAACTGTAGTAGGAATTTGAAAACATGACATTGAATAGACTGGCATCGGTAGAGCTATTGACTTCAGCATAATCTCCTTACCGGCTGGAGATAGCAACTTGAACTCCAAGAAGATGTACGCTTCTTTATAGCATCAGTAATATACTTGAACATTTCTATCTTTTTCTTCTGAATTGTTCCGGCAAAGGTTGTGAATTCCTAGAATTCCTTTTAGCCTGTTTTGGAGATCACCTGGAATCCTTGAGCCATAAGTAATCATAGATTTACTGGAGTTGATTAACTGACCTGAACTTCTTTCATAGATTTGGATGATTTCCTTCAATGCTCGAAAATTCTTGTTTTTTGCTTGAAAAAAGAATAAAGAGTCATCCGCAAATAGCAAATGAGTCAACGGTGGAACACCATTTCCGATCTTAATTCCCTGGATCTTACCTGACTGAGACTGAACTTTGATCAAATGGCTTAGAACATCGGCACAGAGAAAAAAAAGGCAAGGTGACAAAGGATCACCTTATCTTATACCTCTTGCCGGAGAGATCATTCCGTGAGGATTCCCATTAATTAAGACAGAAAAACTAACAGATCTAACCATAGCCATTATCCAGCAAATCCATGTATCTGCAAAGCCAAAAGCCTTCATAGTAGCCTCTAAAAAGTCCCATTCAACCCGGTCATAAACCTTACTTATGTCAGTCTTAACAGCCATATAAGTCTGGGAAACGCTTTTCCTGGACTTTAACGAGTGCATCAGTTCATTTGCCACAAAAACATTATCAGGAATCATTTTCCCAGGGATAAAAGCAGCCTGTTCTTCCGAAACAATTTGATGAAGAAAACACTTCAAGCGAAGGACCAAAGCTTTGGAGATGATTTTATACAAAACATTACAAAGGCCGATTGGTCTGTAATCTGATAATGTTTGTGGCTTCTCGATTTTGGGAATCATACAAATATTTGTATGATTTACTCCTAGTTTCATCACTCCAGTCCTAAAAAATCTTCTGACTTCCCTCATTACATCATCTCCTACAATAACCCAGAATTCTTGATAAAACCTTGCTGTAAAACCATCGGGACCAGGACCCTTATCAGCACCAATTGAACAGACTGCATCAAAATTTCATTATCTGAAAACTCCCTTGTAAGACTTTCATTAATCTCAGCGTGACAGACTGGTTGAACCCAGCAAAAATCTCAGGACTAACTTGTTGACCATTGCTTGAATAAATCCCCTTGAAGTATTCCTCCGCATGAAATCTAATCACTTTATCCCCACGAAAGACATTACCCGTAACATCATGTACACAATGAATCCGGTTCCTTGCAAATCTCGCTTTAGTACATGCCTGGAAAATTTTTGTATTACGGTCACCATCTTTGTTGGGGTCGGTTTCCACCCCAAGCGGATAAACCATCCCGAGAATGATCAAGTATCATAGAGAACCAGTTGGCAGGAGAAATCAGTTGTGGGCCGAGCTCTAACATGAGAAAGGTGGGCCAAGCCGTGCTCGACATTACAAACGGGCCGAGCCGTGAAGAGGGATAAGTAGCCAAGCCGCGGGAAGGATGTTCAGTGGGCCGAGCTGTGCAAGAGAGGGAACGGGCCGAGCTGTGCAAGAAAGCGAATGGGCCGAGCTGCATAAGAAGGAGAATGGGTCGAGCCATTTCCTTCCACAATTGGGCCGAACCAAGGCTTTGAAAGACGAAAACCCATAGAAACCCTAGGCGAAGTATCATGACGGTGGCTGCCCAAAGCGATAAGGAAATATTCCGAAAATCTCTCCCGAAGATTCTCGGCTAGGCGGTTCAGAGAATTAATATAAATAGACGATGTTTGCAATTCATTCTGTAACTTTTCATAACTTGAGAGCGATAAAACCTAAACACTTTCCAGCAAAAAAACCCTCTTTTGATTTTACTGTTCTTGCGATTACCCTAGAAATTTCGGATCCCTTAAGTTTTCCTTACAAATTTTTGGTTGTGCGAGTTTTGTCTCACACAATTTGGCGCCGTGTGTGGGGACATCGAAACTTTCTTACTCTAAATCGACAAGACTTTAAGATCCGAAGAACATGGCGAGCAACACCCTCAACGATAACAACAATAACAACAACAACGATAACGGCACGGAGAAGGACGCTCCAGCATCAGGCACGACGACGGCGACAACCGAAACCCAAGAGGAGATGCGAAACATGATGGCTGCGTTGATGAAGAAGATCGACGAGCAGGATAAAAGAAACGAGGAGATTACAGAGAGGCTCGACACGATGACGGCCGAGCAACGACACCCGACTTGGAGAGCCAGAATCTCTGATCCAATGGATGAAATCTGGAGACGTTTTGATTTCTCAATGCCTGCAGAAGCCTCGGGTAGCGGTACAAGAAACCCTTTGCCTCCACCAATGTTTCGTCCCCTCGGCGAACAGACTCCAGCCGCAACCCGAATCAATATGACCGAGCCACCTCCACTCCGTCGGAACTCAAGGCGACAAGCCGACGAAGAGGAGAACGACGCGATCGACGTGGACACCCAACAAAACGACGGAACCACAAACATGCAACAAAATGGCTCAGCTCAGCGAATAAGCCAAGAAGAGCTCGCCTCAGCACTGAACGGCATCCAGACTGATGAAGTCACCGACCCGGTTCGCGGTGACAACCCGATTGAAGAAGAAGAAAACCTCCAATGGATCGAGCAGGCATAGCGCAAAGACGAGCCGAGGAGAGAAGAACGGGAGCAACTTCGCCAATCAAAGGGAAGGACTCACACACAAACCCTCGAAATCAAAGAACTGTGAGCCTCAATGGCTCGGACAGTAGCCGAGATACGCACCATGAAGTCTCAAGTGCGTAATGCGATGAGTGTCGCGCCCGAGATCGATTGAATGCTTGAAGAGACCCAGAGAACACCGTTCACGGCGAGAATCACGGAGGCTAGGATTCCCGAGCCCGGGAAGGTGAGAATTCCATTCTACGAAGGAACGACCAATCCCAAGGCACACATCACAGCGTTTCGGATAGCAATGGGACGAGCTTTCACGAAAAAAGCCACCAAACTGACCGAGCGAGAAGTAGATGCCGGATATTGCCTACTCTTCGTAGAACATCTCAAGGGAGCCGCGCTCGAATGGTTTTCGAGACAGGAGCGCAATTCAATCGGCAGTTTCCAACAGCTCTCTGCTTTGTTCCTTAAACAATACTCGATGCTCATGGATAGAGGAACTTCTGATGCCAACCTATGGACGCTTTCCCAAGGACCGAATGAACCGCTTCGGGATTACATGGCAAGGTTCAAGGCGGTCGTATCCAAAGTAGAAGGAATAAGCGACAAGGCAGCACTCGAAGCTCTGAAGCGGTCTTTGTGGTAAAAATCCGAATTCCGACAGAAATGGCACTCAACACGCCACAAACGATTCAAGACGCCTTGCATTGGTCGTCAGACTTCATCGTAAACGAAGAAGGGATGAAGAATCTGGACGAACAGCACAAAGCAACGAAAGCAGCGATCCGAAGCTCAATTTTGACGCCCCCTCGAAGAAAGGCAATCCATCAAACAACGTAACAACACAGAGCTCGGACGAACCTAGAAGCGGAGGTGCCCATAACTACCAAGTAGGCGCTAGACGCGGAAGAGGAGAGCCGCGCAACAACACTTGGGTAAGAAAGCCCACCAACTACGACGAAAAGGCGTTTTGCGAGTATCACCAGACCTACGGACATTCAACGACACAATGCCGAACTCTAGGAGCCAAAGTCGCGGCTAAGATGGCGGCAGAAGAGCTCCAGAACGCGGTGAACCTCAAAGACCTCGTCCCTAGTGAGCCAAAAGAGGGAACCAAGACGAACGGGACGGCAGAACCCGCAAATCTTCCCCGACGAAGCGATAACACCAAGCCCGACAGGAGAGGTGAGCCGAGACAAAGAATCAACATGATCATGGGTGGATCCCAATATTACTAAGACCCCAATATTACTAAGACACGGTGTCTTCCATTAAACCTTATCAGCGCCGAGCCGAAGCGAAGGAAAATTGGACGGAACCAACCGATATCTCCTTCGCCGAAGAGGAAACGACAGGGATAGATAGACCGCACAATGATCCACTAGTGATCGAATTGACGATCAGAGACCACGATGTAGCGAGAGTGCTCATCCATACTGGGAGCTCGGTAGACGTCATTTTTAGGGAGACACTCAGAAGGATGGGAATCGATCTCTCCGAGGTGACGGCAATCCCCAAACCTCTAACCGGATTTTCAGGAGAAACAACAATGACTATGGGCACAATTAGGCTCCCTGTGGTAGCTGGGGGAGTCACTAGGATCGTGGAATTTTGCATCACCGATCACCCAGCAATCTACAATGTGATTATGGGAACTCCATGGATCAATGCAATTCCATATATCACCTCTGCCTAAAATTCCCGACTCCAGCAGGCATCAAAAAAGTCTGAAGAAATCAGAAGGAGTCGCGAATGTGCTGCTTGGCGGAGCACAAGCTGAGGAACCCCGTCACCGATGCACGGGCAGACGTAGATCGCAAAAAGCTGAAGACAGACTGAGAGACTGCGAACGAGCTCTCGAAACTCATATAGCAATTACAGATCGCGGAGAGCTGTGAAACGCGCGCCGAGATGATATGTGATGCGGTGGACTAGGTGTGCATAGACGAAGCGCGTCCAGAACGACGCGTCGAAGTCGAAGCTAAACTAGAAGAACCTCTGAGATGCAAACTTCTTTCCCTCCTCAAAGAGAATATCAACATTTTTGCCTGGACAGCAGAAGATATGTCGGGCATAAGCATCAACGTGACCTGTCACAAGCTGAACGTAGATCCAACTTTCAAACCAATCAAGCAAAAAAGGAGGAAGCTCGGACCCGAACGAGCTAAAGCAGTTAACGACGATATGTTAGTCAATAAAATGTTGGCGGATCAGCTCAGAAAAAAACCATGGAGCTATACATCGAAGATATGTTAGTTAAATCACTCGAGGAGAAAGACCATATCGCACACCTACGAGAATTCTTCGAGCAGTTGAACAAACACAACATGAAACTAAACCTGGCGAAGTGCAGATTAGCGGTCACCTCGGGAGAGTTCCTCGGCTATCTGGTAACTCACCTAGGCATTGAAGCGAATCCCAAGCAGATCAAGGCATTAATCAAAAGGTAACTCACCAAGGATGAAGCGAGAAGTTCAAAGGCTCACAGGAAGGGTCGCTGCGCTAAACAGGTTCATTTCCCATTCCACCGACAAGTGCCTGCCTTTCTACGACACCCTTGGGAAAATAAGAAATTCGAGTGGGACGAGCAATGCGAAGCAGCTTTCCAGGAAACCAGTTGAAGGAGAGCCTCTCTTCCTCTACATCGCCGTATCTGCTACAGCTGTGAGTGGGGTGCTGATAAGAGAAGAGCGATCCGAGCAAAAACCCATTTTCTAGAGTTGAGCAAGTACGACATCAAGTATCGGAACAGGTCGTCTGCAAAATCACATGTGCTCGCAGATTTTCTCATCGAACTTTCGGTCGAGGCGACGACCGAGCCAACCCTAGACGAAGTACGGATGCTGCACGTCGACGGCTCGTCGTCTAAACACGGTTCAGGAATACGAATCCGTCTCACCTCTCCCACCGGAGAAATATTGGAGCAGTCTTTTCGCCTGAACTTCCACGCCTCGAACAACGAAGCACAATACGAAGCGCTGATCGCCGGCATACGACTAGCGCAGGGAATCAGAGTTCGAAAGATAATAACCTTTTGCGATTCACAGCTTGTAGCATGTCAATTCAACGGGGAGTACAAGGCGAAGGACGGGCGAATGGGATTTTACCTCAAAGTGGTCCGAGAGTTGGTGCAAAAGTTTGACGAGTTCGAGCTCACACGAATACCCTGAGGTGAAAACACCTTGGCAAACGCCTTGGCAGCACTTGCTTCGATTTCAGACCCGGATCTCCGACGGACAATTCCAGTCGAATTCATCGAACGTCCTAGCATCGAAGAGGTAGAAGGAGTTCGGCTGATAAATCCTCCAGAGCAGGAACTAGAGAGCGGCGAAGCGATCGCTATGGATGAAGACGCCTCACCAGCCGAGCTGGAGTACAGCTGCGACAAAGAATGGCTCGGAGCCATCCGAGTATATATCGCCGATGGAGAAGTGCCAACCGACAAGTGGGAAGCCCGCAAATTAAAAGCTCAGGCCGCGTGATATGTCCTCGTCGACGGCGAGTGTTTAAATGGAGATTTTCAGGACCGCTCATGACATGCATCGAAGGATCATGCACGAAGTACACAGCAGCACGTGCGGAAACCATTCTAGCAGAAGGTCACTCGCGATCAAGATAAAACGGCACGGTTACTTCTGGCCTACAATGGTCAAGGACTGAGAGAAGTTTACGGTTAAGTGCGAGAAGTGTCAACGGCACGCGCCTACAATTCACCAACCTACCGAGCTGCGGTCATCGATCTCATCACCTTATCCTTTCATGATATGGTCGATGGATATAGTCGGACCTCTACATCGATCGAAGCAGAAGCACTTTCTGCTCGTCCTCACGGATTATTTTTCTAAGTGGGTCGAGGCCGATTCCTACGCGAGCATAAAGGATGCTCAAGTCGAACACTTTGTCTGGAAAAATATCATCTGCCGACACGGGGTCCCCTACGAGATAGTAACCGATAACGGATCCTAGTTCTTCTCAACGCGTTTTGAAGCATTCTGTGAGAAATGGAAAATCTGTTTAAGCAAATCTACGCCAAGATATCCTCAAGGGAACGGACAAGCCGAAGCAGCCAACAAGACGGATCCTAGACGGTCTGAAAAAGAGGCTCGACGCCAAGAAAGGACGATGTGCAGACAAGCTCGAAGGAGTCCTTTGGGCGCATCGGACAACTCAGTGCCGAGCCACCGGAGAAACTCCATTCGCTCTAGTCTATGAAGCGGAATGCGTAATCCCCCCCCCCCCCCGAGGTGGATTACCCAGGGATTCGACGAAAACTTCTGCCGGGACAAGAGGGTTTCAATCACTTAATGATGCTAGACGAACTCGATTTGGTCAACGAAAGGCGCGACCAGGCTCTAATCTGAATCCAGAACTACCAACAAGCAACGGCGAGATACTACAACAAAAATGTTCGAAGTTGAATTTAAAGAAGGAGAGCTCGTTCTTCGAAAAGTTTTCCAAAACACCGCCGAGAAGAATGCAGGAAAGCTCGGAGCAAATTGGGAAGGTCCTTACAAGATTGCAAAAGTAGTTCGCCCAGGAGTCTACGAAGCAATTTCAAGATCGTGGAATGCAATGCACCTGAAGAAGTATTATCACTAAGGCTACAACACGGTCAACATGAACTACGGGACGGCTTGATCCCTGCAAAGGGTAAGTAGGCAGCCCATCCTCGGACGGGTTCAGCTGTCCCCCCTCCTAAAAAGGGGGGGGGGAGTGGGTACGTATACACATACCTTTGATATGTTCATAATTTGCATCATTTAGGTTACATAATTCATTCTAAATCATGTTTTATTCCATGCATTTTAGGTCCTTCGGGTTTGTTTTAGAACTTAGGAGATGCATTGGGTCCCAATGAGTCTTTGCATGTTTTGAGTGTTTATCAGGTGTATTTGGAGCTGAAAAGATGAATCCAGGAGGTGGAATGGTGATCAAAGCTTGAAAAGTGGTAAAATTTGGTTTCAGGAGGTTCTCGGCCATTCTCGCGCACCAGGAAGGATTTTATCGGCCATTTTCACGTACCGCGGGTAGACTTTGTCGGCCAAAACACGTACCGCGAATAGTTGTATCGGCCAAAACACGTACCGCGAATAGTTGTATCGGCCAAAACACGTACCGCGAATAGTTGTATCGGCCAAAATCTCCGGGTGCAAACACGTTTCCGAAATCGCCTGTCCGGGGAACCTTCCGATCCGATTCAGATGTCGGGTGCTTCATAGAAGTTGGAGAGGACTAGATCACGGATTCGTAGCAAGTGGAATCATGGAATTCGGACGTGGGAGCAGAGAGTTAAGCTCATCGGAAGAAACCCTTGTCTCGCTGATGTTTTGAACCAAGCCAATAAGCTCTGAAGAATGCAAAGGACGGTGCACTTCCAGGCCGATTCAGCTTCCGGGGCCTTCATGAGAATCAGAGACATTTGAGTCCTCTTTCTAGAACATCAAAGATCATCCAGTTCGGAGCTATGAACAGGAAGATACGGTCTCCGGAATGGACATATGTATAGACGGCCCTCTCTGATGGTGTGAATTCATTGCGAAGATGAGCCCTCCAGGAAGCCTTCCACTTCCCAAGCACCGAAGCTTCCTTCCCAATCACTCAATTCGGACAAGTTTCGTGGAAGTTACACTCTCCGGAATGCGAAGTGGTCCAGACAGCCTTGAATGACTAAGTTAAACATGCCGCGATGGAATGCCACGGTCCACGCTTGGCCGTGGAAAACTCACACTTGGCTGGGAGGAACTTTTGCAAACATTCGGCATTTGACACGGCCTGAATGCCACGGTCTGGGACTTGACCGTGGCAACTTCTGCAAACCTTCGGTGATTGGCACGAGCTTCATGACACGGTCTACATTTGACCGTGCCAAACAGAAGATGGCTGGGGGCAACTTTTACACAACTTCGGATATTGCCACGGTTGAGAATGCCACGGTCTTACACTTGACCGTGGCAAACAAACACTTAGCTGGATGGACTTTACAAGCGTTCGGGTGTTAACACGGTTTGGATGCCACGGTCTGGAGCTTGACGGTGGCAACTTTTTCAAATCTTCGGCGTTTGACACGGTGAGTTGCCACGGGATTCGGACGAGGTTTGATCAGACCGTGGCATCAAAAGGCGACCAAGAACACAAGAGAAAGCTTTGACACGGTTGGGTTGCCACGGTCACACCAAGAACACACCAGACCGTGGCAAACCCATCTTCACCCATCAAGGCCGGGTCAGTACCCGGTTTGTTTCGGGTTGACCCGATTCGCCCAAGTCTCCTATATAATGTTTTTAGACCTAATTTGGAGAACACCTTTTATCTACTTTTAGTTTCCTTTCCCCTTTTGTGAAAACTCACTTGTTACATCTTGTTTTTAGAGTTTAAAATCGATTTAGAGTTTCTTTTCATCTTGTTCCATCATTTCTTATCATCAAATCACACTTCTAATCATGATTAACAACACATCTTGCAAAGGATTTAGTGTGTTGATCATGATTAGTGAGTAGTCACCTTAATGAGATTCTAGATGTGTAGGTTAGGGTGCTAAAGTGTTAGATTAGGAGTGCTTAGGGCTAGATTCATTGATTCATCTCTCTAAACAGCTGTTCTCTATGCTAGATCCTTGCATATCACTTGAGATCTTGATTCTGGGAATTTCATACACCAAAAGTGTTTGATGAAATTCCTGAAACAGTTGTATTAGAG